CTTCTTACGGCGATACTCTTCAAAGTCGGCAGCACAAAAAGAATCAGATAAATACAGTTCAATCTATGAAATGTAGCATATGCTCAACGAAATATTTTTATTTTTTCCTTCCACAAAAGTAGACAAAAAATTGCAGTCCTTCGCTATGCTAAGAAGAATGTGCGTAAGCCTGCAGTGTTGCGCGCAAATCAGGCCAAAATGTTCTCAGTGTCGTTGACGAAGAGAGTAAAAATCAATTCCTATTCTTCAGATGACCTGCTTACGGTTAACTGCTACCATTGTTCACAGACAGGTAGGCGAACAGACGCCGTGAACCAATTGCCGTAAACCAATTTTTCGGTATCAAGGACCAACAAAACGTCGATTCTGACTATAAAAGTGTGAGAGGAAGAAATCTACTACGTACAGGAACAATAATTATATTTTTTCGGTTTCAAGAATCTACAATACGAATTTTTCTGCCCAAAATAGCCGTTTCGCGACAGAATAGCTGCAGCATTACATAGCATTCTCTATAACTACGTATGTAGGTGAGGAGGGGGGTACGTACGAGGGTGATGACGAACTTTCTCAGTAATATTTTAATTGAACACTTTTGGAACTGTTGGTATGTCTGTCAAGGCCTCACTCTTGCATGCCTCTTCGCAAAACGGTCATCAGGAGGATTTACCCTAAGAGGAGAGAAGAAGAATGAAAGACGAAAGAGAGAGAGAGAGAGAGAGACAGAGACAGAGACAGAGACAGAGACAGAGACAGAGAAAGAGAGTGAAAAAGAAAGACAGAAAAAGATAGGGAGAGAGGAAGATTTTCCTTCTATGTTAATTGTCGACCCATAAGATATTTTAATGGAAATTTTTAATTGCAAAAAATACTAAGAAAAAAATTGGAAGCGATTTCTGAGAAAATGTTTTTGATTATTTGCAATAACTTCAAGCCGAAAGTAGCAAGCGTATCTATTTTTTGATTTAAAAATTGTACATTAGATTTTTTAGAATAGTCTTTATTGAAGATAAACATCTCCATCTTCCAATTTGTTATTTGTTAATGTTCCTTTTTTGTATTTTTCGAAAATACAGACTTCGACGGAAATGGTACTAGCACCAATATTGTACCGTTCTTTGAAACATACGAGGGGAATATTTAACGGGAAAAAATTGAGCCGATTTTGATAAAATAATTGTTTAAAATGTGCATATACTCCACGCAAAGCTACGCTAAAAACTACTTATATTTTTGAAAAAAATGTACATGACGTTATTTTTAGATCCATTTTTAGACAACAGATGCATGAAAGAATACAATCTCAATATTCAATATTGTATAGGTAGGGAGATACCGAAAAATGTGAATTTACCCAATTTTTGAATAATCAGTAATATCAATGAAAATGAAATTTACATCATTCTTTTAAGCGTCATTTACACTATTCGAGAACGAAGTGAAATAAAAACATCTGGAGGCATTTTTGAGAAATTTATGAAAATGTTAAGGCTTTATGTAAAGTACCATAAAATTGAAATATCCATTTCATACCTGCAGGGCCGTGTTATCCTTTAAATCGACCGAGGAATATTAATTTTGGAGAACATCGGTTTAACAATTTACGCGCTAGCGTGAAGTCTTGCCATAAATCGGTTTTTCGAAATCAAAATCACGAAAGGTGGATTTTGACAAAACGCTAGAGCGTATAGGAAGTAATTTACTAAGTATAGGAATAATATTTATCCACTTTTCATTACTAGGGCCAGGCAATAATAGTTTTTCTTTCGAAAATTCGCCGTTTTCTGACTCACGATTGCAATACTTTAGTTTCTTAGAGAGTACGGCGAGAAAGTTATACGTTCATACATACGTACATACATAACACATACATAATATATAGACAATACATACACAATTGATAGATAACACATACAAACATACATATATTCGTTGCTGCGACTAAAATGTTAAAAGGAAAACCTGTAGTCTTTAAAGATTTTAATCCAACCATATATTTTAATTTTATGTCTAAAAACCAGAAGAAATAAATAATTTCCAGAGTAGCTACATGTCTGATGATAGACACAAATTGTAACCTTCACTCTCAAAATACTGAGTTCTTTGTCGCAGTTAAAATAATTTCAAGATTTAATAATTATGGTTACTTTAAGTTAAAGTAAATATTTTTAAACTCGTTCCATAGAACAGATAACGGGCTTAGAAAAATCAAAAATATTTTTTAAAAACAAACTAATGGTACACAATGGGCTCATAAGACAACGGTAGTGATATTTCACATCCAGTACTTTTCTTTTAAAATGACTTCTATCCTTTCTTCCCAGTATGTGAATCCGGACAAAGGCATTATTGCATCAAAAACCCTCTTTCTAATACGAATGAAACGCATGTCTGCGTCTGTGTTCAGAGGCTTCAAGGTCGTAACATACGGTATGATTCGTCGACTGTCTGTCAATCAGTCCGTCGACTCTGTGTCGATGACGCAATGAAATTCGCTCATCACGTCTACACAGGCTGCATCAGGGGCATTCCATGTTTTTAGGGGCATTCCATGTTTTTTGCCTGTTAGGTGCAGGAGGAAATTTTGTTTATAAAATTTAAAATGTTAAAACCTCCGAAGCTAAGTCATAAATATAGTACCAGTCAATGTGTTCTAAAGACGAATTAGCTTTATTTGAAAGTGAGTTTGAACAAGGCTTTTGCTCTTGCAAGACATTACATTTATCTCAATTAGGTAATATTATAATGTTGCTTAGATAATTGGAATATTTTCAATGAGTGTCACGAAGAAATCATCAATTCAGGGCACCTCAAAATAAAAGTTTCAGATTTCTAGAACACAGAAAGGACTCAAAGATCTCAGTCTGCAAAAAAGCAACATACTCATATGGTCTCATATGTGCACGTATGACATTTGCTCGTTCGTAATTATTAGGCAACTTCTCATGCAATGGCATTCGGCAGGTGCACGAAATCGCATTGACTGTACACTAGTGCAGAGATATCATCTTCTGGGCACTAGTGCACAGGGAGTTATCTAATGATCAGTATCAAATACCAGATGTGTAACATCATTACAAGAAATTTCCGACCAACTGTTAATTGGCAAGAAGGGGTCGTCTTTGGCCTCTCTACAACCCCTAGAAATTTGCAACATTCGTTTGAGACACAGTTATTAATACTATTAAGAATATTTAGGGACAATTAGTGTATACACGCTAGACACTTTTGTTAAAATATTACAGCAGCACAAATGTATTGGATTTCACTATTATTTGTGTTCCATAACAAATAAAAATTGCAATCATTTAATCTTCGATTTCCAGTAACCACGTGACATCTGAAAGTCATACATCTAAGACATTCGTTATTGTTACAATCATACCAGATTTTTCAATTATGACTCACTTCATCACAACTCGGGATGAAACTGTGACAGGTAGCCACTTGGTAGAAGCGAGTGTCTCAACATCTTGTCCCTTTACCCTTCATCCAAGCTTAGAAGCTGAACAAGAGGAGGAAATGACCTACAGAGCTGGCGGAGTTTCAGAAATGGACACTCTGGAAAATTGAGAACATTAGTGAAACATCCTCGTCAGTCATGAATGCTACAAACCCAAATTTCTTTTAGGAGTGTCTAATGTCAACTACAAAGGTTGCGCGTGTT